TTTTCGCACGGTTTACAAAAATACACATACCCTCACGTTAGAGAAAGCATCTTTTTGATAATGAGAAAAAAACAGGGATTCCATTTAACAGAAAACATTATGAAAAATAGATATGATACGAAATGAAATGAAAATAGATAAAGGGCCTCGCTTGCAGACGATCTATTGCTGAAGTTGGGGACGACTTGGCTTGTCTTGACTTGGCAAGTAGCTGTGGAGTTAGCAGTAGAAAGGCTTGTAGTAAAAAGAACTTGAATGGATGGCGAAGATGTGTTGGGCTATTTGATGTTTAGGGTTCACGTGTACAGTCTTTACTTCCCCTTGACTAAATCAGGCCTCGGAACGGAATTCATGTGGCTGTGGTCCAGGCCACCCGCTGTCCAGCAACGTATGCATGTGTAGCTCAATAGGCTCACTCTGGTAATGTCTTTGCCTAGAGCAGGACAGGGACGAATTTGTAAATATAGCAGGTTCGATGGAAGGAGAAATCACAGAGAGACAACAGAACAGTCTCTGTTCAAGCCAGTAGCCAAGTGAAGTGGAAGGTCACTAGCTAGGGAAGTTATCAGCTCCTTCTGAAGGACTCTCGTGGCTGGTTGCAAGTTCTGCTACCAACTGCCCACGCGAGCTGCCAAGCAACCCACACAAATTGTATGACCTAATTCTGGGGGAGTAAGGATTTCAAAAAGCGGGGGAGCAAAATCAATTCTATTACATAATTATTAGGAAGATCCAAACTAGAGCAGGAAAAGTTAAAACAACGGTGGTTAATGTTATTTATTTCCTGGAGACAAGGCTGATAGTTCGTCGTGACGCTCTTTCTAATCGCATTTGATTTATAAAACAAACCTTTTCTTTAACAACTCGCTCTTCATGAAAACACAAAGTTAGAAAGTAACTTAATATGCATGAAAAAGAACAGTAACAGAAACAAGACCTGCTACCTGTTCGCTCTTTGTACCCTTCTGCCATAGGCATGCAGAGCCTCGATCTGGCAGCTTTTCTTGTATGTTGGCAAGTAATTTTGGGCATGATGTTGCGTTAGTTCTTCTACCATCTATACGATTGGACAATGTTTCAAAAGCTGTTAGTTCAAGGCTCTGCATGCCCATGGCGGCAGCGTTCAAAGAGCAAATGCCATGTCCTGGGTGCAGGCAGTTCACTATTCAAGTAAGAATTTCTGCTCAGCTCATTGGCATTAAAAGTAGCAGCTCAGCATTTTTCTGAAAAAAAGGAGATTGTTTGGCCCCCGAAATGGTGAGATTGTGTAAATCGTTGCCAGGATCAACTGCCTGGGTGTTTGAGCTATCCTATGCGAGCAGAAAGGCTAAAAACTACAACTGAAAAAAATGGTCTTAAGTGCCCAAGAAGGTTTAGGGTTGCCACTTGAAAAATGGCTGCAATCAGACTGCAATCAAGACGGAATATTCTGATGGTATTATTGAGCAGACTCGGTAGTAATTTCCTAAACCCGTGGTCAAACTTGCGGTCATACAATTGTAGACAAATTATTTGGGAATTGGGAGTACTACTTAGAGATTATAGGGATGGACCACGGAGAAATACCAGTATCTATAAGATTACAAATCTAACACAAATGGAAACTGCATCGACAAGAACAGAAATTAAAAAGATATCATCGGCTGGGTTTAGAGAGTGACGAATTCTGGGCTTCCACTTATTATGAGAGGGCAGTTCCTACATGTGTCGATATTCTTTTTGCTCTTTTTTTCTCAATAAAATATGACAAAAATTACTCCTAATAGAGGAATGGATGAAATAATAACAAGAACAAATCAACACCAAAGAGTAAAGAGCGTGTACTTTGCAAGCACGGGGGGACAGAAATGAAAGAAAACAGTAAAGGCGCCTCCTATAAACACCATGAAGCAAAGCTCGACAGCACACGACACGTCGCGTAGTGCGTCGTGTCGTGCGTCGCGTCGTGCTTCAGGCGACGCAATACACGACACGACGCACGACGCGACGCACGACAGCTCGACACGACGGGCGACGGAAGGGGCGACGTTTAGGCGGCAAAAAATGCAACATGGAAAGGACCTAAAGTAGCACGACGCGACGGGCGACGGCACGACGCGACGCACGACGCGACGCGTGTGTACAAAAGTAATGGCAAGAAGGCAAAGGTGCGACCCGACGGCACGACGCAAGGGAGCCGTCGTGCCGTCGCGTCGTTTGGTCGCGTCGCCTGGAGGGAGGCTAAAGAGAGAGAGAAATGTTTGTCGTAAATAGTACACCATAGCGACGTTTAGGCGGCAAAAAATGCAACATGGAAAGGACCTAAGGCAACACGACGCGACGGGCGACGGCACGACGCGACGCGACCTGTGTGTACAAAAGTAATGGCAAGAAGGCGACGGTGCGACCCGACGGCACGACGCAAGGGAGCCGTCGTGCCGTCGCGTCGTGTAGTTGCGTCGCTTGGAGGAAGGCTAAAGAGAGAGAGAAATGTTTGTCGTAAATAGTACACCATACAAAACTCTGCTATGTTATGATAATGCATGCAATATCTACTCCCCTCCAAAATTTGGAAAATGCATCAGGCCAATGTCTGGGATGCTTGCCAATGTGTCTGGAAGTTTATGGTTGGCTCCAGCACTGTAAATAGATAGTGTGTAGACCTGGAGTCCTGGATAAGCTCTTGTGATTGACAGGGCCGAGCCCGGGTCTGGAGATCGAGGTTGGCCAAGTGGAATTATTTACACTGTCTAGGCCCAGCTGTTATGCTATAAAGCCCAGGATGAGTGAGTCACAGTGATTCAGGCATGTATAGCAGGAATTTCCCCTGTATTTTTGGTATCGCTGATGAATTTCCGTATTGTTGCATTCAGCGCCCCCATTGAAGACCACGGCCCCCAAAAAGGACACTTCCCCCACAAAACGTACTGAGAAGTCTTTCTAGGAAGATTTCCATCCGATTTATGCTGAAGGAAACTGAAAAAGACATTGAATAGGGATCGCTTTATCCACAAAATAAATCTGAGACAATTTTAACACACGGTGCTGCATTGGCCGTTATATTGGACAAGGTGCCTCGAGCGAGATCTTGATCTCTGATTGGGCGCGAGGACCCCAGATCGCCCTTGGTGCTTGTGTAGGGGTGTTTTGGTTTGTGTGAGATTTTTCATTTTTTTAGGGTCGGGTAGGTACCAAAGGGAAAAAGTGCTCCAGAACTCTCCACTTCCTACTACTTAAGTCAGATCGATTCTTCCGACGATACAGTCCAAGATACCGCAGGTGTCGTTGCAAGGTGCACTCACTCAGCGCAACTCCATGGACTGTTGCTAAAGTTCAAGATGGGTGTAACTGAGTCTGAAGTAATGCGCTATGAGGCCGTCAATGTCCATGATGCCTAAAACTGAAAAATAAATGTAGAACAAAACTTTTTATTAAGTTCATGCATTATAAATAGTGTAAATGCAAGTTGAATATTTTCAATTTGAACACATACAATACTTTCAGAACTGCGCACATTTCTTTCTACGAGCTTGCATGCAACTAAAGTAGCCCTTTGATCCGCCCCGCGAGCTTAAGTGCACCCCCAATCGCGAATCGGCGAAAGAAAGACAGGTGGTTACAAGCAGTTTTTTGCACGGGTTCTGCATGTACGCAAAGACCATCCGGTTCGTAGGTGACTTCGTCACGAAGGCGGACGCGCCACGATTTGCAAGCTTTCATGGACAATCGCTGAAGTTGCGCTTTAACTTCCGGTTCCATCGTTCCATGTAAACGGCGATTAATGCATGTAACTGTATGTGCAGTGCACGTGTGCAGTTGGCGTGGTTTAAACTGAAGTGACGTCACACATGCCGGATTAAATTAATAAGCGTACTCAGCGTGCTCCGCGTCAAACGCGGACATACGTACTTGGGCGCGCCTATGCACTGAGCCCCCCCCCAAAAAAAACTATTTTATTCCGCTTGGAGCGGATGGACACTCGGTCCTGGAATACGCCCAACGGGGCTACAAAACAATTTCAATGAAACTACGTTAATCGGTAAGATCATTAAAATGTAGCATACAAACAGCCACACAATTATATCTTTTGAAACTTTTGCAATTTTTTTTTTGCTTACGGTCACACACGCGTGAGAATTAAGTTGATGGGTTCACTTATTGAAGCCCTAAAATTGAGCAGTTCGGGTTCTAGTTTTTATTCCAGTAACACACGTTCCTTTAAAATGTTTGACAATCTCCGACCAAGAAAAAACAATTATGGCTGAGAGAAATTTCGGACAATAAACTGCTCTGGCCGTACATGAACCAAATGAATGTTGTCTATGCCTGCATTCTTTGCTGTCTTGTCGCATACGGTAATAAATCCGACGGTACGGACAGAAAGTGGTAAGTATGAAAACAAACGACAGAGCCACAAACGAGGCTAATGAGCGGGGAATGACTTTGAAAAGGACAAGTTGCACCAGGCGAATTACACGAAATGCCAAATTACCTGACGGCTGGAAATTCAGTACGGATATCACTGCGTCATCGCTACTGCGGTTTCTTGTAAACTAAATGATTGAAATAAGATGTGTAAACAATCCCAAACATGACATTTAAGGGGTTTCAAGAAGTGTACCTTTAACGCGGGGCCCTGCAGGAGGTGGGATGGAAGCGATGGTTGATGCAGCAATATTTACATAAAACGTTTCATATAATACACCACGCAATCAAAATCTTCTACAAAAAATGAAGGCCATTACATATTTTGATAAAGGTGCTTCAGTTACCAAAGAAATGGTTTAAATCAAACTCACCTAAAGGTAGGAGCGGTAGTCTGGCATTGCGTTCGTAGCCTTCCCGGCTAAATAAACTGCTTCAGTTGTTCGCTTTAATTGCACATTTCATGGACTAAAGTATGGGTGATATCACGCAATAGTATGGCGATATAACGCCCTAAATACAACGTTATAACGCCATATTATTAGGGCCATGAGCAACGAATTGGCAAACACGAGCCACCGTAGTAAATAGCTGGGTATTATTGTTGTAAAGCGCAACGTTGAGGAAGGACTAGTGGGTTCATACATGTAAATGCTGTTGCTAATTAGGCCTAGTAAAAACGAAGTTAAATTTTGGTGTCATTATCCTGATTCAAGGCTAGGTCTGGATCATGGAAGAGGCAACGGTTGAGGTGGGTAGTTTCATGTTGGTATAGCCTATTTCGTTGGTTCTGCATTTGTGGACAACAATTTACGTCCGATGTTGGGGCCTACATCATACATGCAGCTACTGTACAAGCAGTGTTTTTAGTGTTACATGTACTAATTAGGCCTAGGCAGTTAGGCTATTAGTAGTATTGTATATCGTCTTGGCATCTAAAATGATGCTCTTACTTGTATTTACTTGTACAATGATGCACCTGAGTTTTCCCTTGGATATCGTGGCGTGCTCGTACCAACGTGGCCAACACTCGCAACCTTGAAAGTCACTTCTGACCAAGTTCTCAATCAAATAGAAAATGTGGAAAGACAAGGCTTTGCCAGAAGGTTACAGGAAAAATGGTTAATTTTGTTATTTAGCAGCCAGTTTAATAAATACAAATACTGTGGGGCATAGGCCTACATTTTCCCAAAAAGCTGTAACCAGTTGCAACTGACAGATTGTCAAAGGTACATGTAGCTCTCTGTTGCCCACCTCTAAGCTAGAATTATCACACAACAGTGGATTGTTCTCTTGGTATATAAATTTATCATGGCTTCTTTATGTCACGCGTTTCTTATAAAATGGATGCAAAAGCAATGTCATGCAGAAAAAAACTTGGAGAAAACAACTATCCAATTAGTTTAGGGAAGGATTGCAATAAGGTGCACATGTGATAAAATTTTCGTGGTTCTACTAAGACCAACAGCTTTTTTCATTGGTGTGCAATGATAGACCTAAAATATTTGATGTGTACAGGACTTTACTGCTTTTGCAACTTTGGATCTTCATCAAACTTGTGCCAATGAAGGACCGTTATGCATAGATGGTCCTCGAAACATGATGTCATTATGACATCATCAAGCAATTTATTATTGATTTTTCAATATTTAATGTATTTCAGCCAATTGACTTTGTACACCTTTCAAGGCAACATTTTAGTTGTTCAGCAATATTTAAATGTCATCAAAGTTACACCAAGGAAAAATCTCAAATCAAAGATAATACTCAAATAGTTACGTCACAATGACATCAAGTGATTTGTTATTGAATTTCGAATATTTAAATATTATGTAAATTATTTTAAATTCCATATAAAAGGAACCGTGGCTTCCCGTAACATTCTGTTTGCGGCAAGTGCCAAGGTAAAATCAGGTCTTCATTTCATCTTGTGTGGGTCAAATCACGTGACCTTTCTTTCCGGTCGAAACTGGAAGTGGGCTTATTGTTTAAAAGTGGTAATAGGTATCAACTTGCTTTCAACGGTGTCAGTTGGTGGGGGTATAGTATACTTCGTCATGTGATTATCGAGCACTCTCTAGCGACAGGTTAAAAATCTTGAACAATGAATATTGAGTAAATTTCTGTGGCAAAGTTTGTCGGAATTGCCTGAAAAATTGACTTGTATGATGATCTTCACTCAGTCGACACATGTGTGAGATTTGGGGGGCCGATGAGGTAATCAGATCGAAAGTTATGATAAAAAGTTCTTTTTTTTTAACATTCAGTAAAAAATCATCCGTAACAGATTTAAGTGTGAATTGTTCATTATATTATTGCTAAAACATTGAAGTCAACTGCATGAAGTGCATAAGTGGTGTACTTCCTCACACAGATGAAGCGCTAACAACAAAAAACCCCTTACAATAAAATTCAAAACTCAAAAATTCCTTCCGCATACAGTGCATTAGCTGCTGTGTGCGTGGACACGCATTATCTGCCTGTAACGTGTGGCAGGCAGCGCACAGTGCGTAGGGCATATACTCAGGACCCGCCAAAATGCCGAGCACGCGGTGCAGAGAGCAGATTGCTTACTATGGAATGCCAAAAGGGAGAAATGTTTAAAATCTGTAATCTGTGCTTGTATTTTGTATTGTACATGCCTGATTAGGTTGAAACCATTGGAAGGGAAGGTTTATAAACGTAGATTGACCTCAGGTGATGACACTGTCACCAGCAAACGAGTTGTGTGACATTAAAGGTGCACTGTTTAAAGCCCTACATGTATATCTCCTGGAGTACACATCCCATTGATTTCAAACTTTGCAGATATCAAGGAAAGGAAGTGTTCTACACAAAAATTTACCTGATGTGATGATGACATCAAATGAGGAGTCAAATTACATTTTATTTAAAACAAGTTATTTCCTGTAGTGCATGCCTGATTGGGTTGAAACTTTGGACCCAAATGGTCATGATGAAATAATTATCAGGTTTGTGCATTAGATTGGTTGTTAAAATTAACAAAGGAATGCAAAAGGCCCTCTGTTCTGTTGGCCAACAGACAGATGAGCTCTAGTTTTTTGGCATTCTTGCATTTAGCGAAAAAGGTATTCCTTTTTGTGGAGATTTCTCCTCTCCTCTCCGAAATCCCGTTTCTTTCGTACACAGTTTTTCTTGGCACCACCTTAGTCCCTTTCCAAGGTTCAATCTTTATCAAAGTTGCCTGAAGCAAAGACCCTATGGCAAAGATATGCCTTGAAGCATGGCGTCATAATGACATCATCAGCTGATTTTTTATTGAATTTTGATTTTTTTTTCCCCGTAGGTTTTGTACCATTTTTCAACTACCAGAATGGCATAAACTCTGACTGCTTCACAAATTGAAACTTAGTACAAGCAAAGACCATCAGCATAGATGAACACAGGAGAATGATGTCACTTTGACATCATAATTAGATTTATTATTTAATTTTGAAGATTTAATTTCTCCCGATGACTTTGTACACATTTTGAAATCCATGGGCTTGGTACATACATTTGTACAGATTATTCCTAGGGCTTAAGCGATTAAACGCATGTCTGTTGCACGATTAGCTAACTTGTGCGATCGGTCGATGTTAGCATTGTCGCACAGTCTTATTGCATGATTTCTAGATAATTTGGCTAGAAGGTTGTGAAAAAATCGTGCGAAATATTGAGGGGAATGAACTCTGAGATTTTATGTCATCAGGCCTCAACCAATTTTTATACTCAACACAAATCGTCTGTGCATTTATCGACCATTCGTGCGGTCTCGCTTCAACACACGGATTCGATCAGGACGATATTTTTTGAGGGGCCCATGTGTTTTCTCAGGACCTCATGGGACTTCCTGGACCTGAAATTACTCCAACTGGGTTCTTAATGGACTTTGCTTGATCAGAGGACTCCAAGGTAATCCCATAAAAGCTGAACTAAAACCAAATTCATGCACTGGCACAAGAAATTGCAGAATTGAGTTGACACCGAATAGGCATGATCACAATGATCATGAGCAAGGTTGCATCGAGCCCAACAAGCAGACAATAGTGCGGCGGGCAGCTGGGTTTGGAAGCTGGATGGATGAAGTGCTGGAACTGGTTCTGGTAGGCAAAAGTATACGTATTGCAAAACATTCTAAACTGCAAGTTTTGTCTGCACTTTTTGTGCTAAGTCTGGATAGTGATGTTAGGGAAGAGAACTCCCTCAAATTAGCTCTGAATTTATACTGACATATCCTGAGAAACTTTAACTCTACAACTGGCCTTTTTTAACATCTCGATATGGTCACCTTATGTCCAAATGATAAAAAAGGCAATTAACAGTGATTGAGTAAGTCGTACTTGTCCAGCACAATCCACTGATCAACATGCACGTATTCATTAACTCCCTCCTGTGTACATTATTCGATGGTTTTAGAATGGTGGATTTTATTGAAAGGCATGTCAAGTCAGGATGGAGCACAATACATGTACATGTACGCACATTTGCAAGTTTTACGATTGCACCAAACATAGGCATCAAACTGACTGAAGTCCCTCATAGTTATACAGTATTTCATAACCCCCTCCCCCAGGACAAAAACAATGTCATGTCAAGACTGCAACCAACAGGAAGTGAGATTTACCTGTATGCGTACATGTGACTGCCATAATATATTGAAAGACAACTGCAGAAATCGTTCAAACTGGTTTTGGAAGAATAGTACAAAGTATTTAGCATACAAAAGATCCCGATATTTTCAATTGGTCCCCATGTTATTTGAAATGTCTGGAAATCTTCAGAACAGAAAAGAAGTTGGCGGTTTTTGTATGATACACTTCAGAAAAATGCCCTGAAACATGAAGGCAGTTTTCCTTCATTTTTTTTAAACACTTAATGTGCATATTTCATTGTTCCCTCAGAAGACAAAAACCGTATTATAACTGGTTCATGGTGTTTGATTATTTACGTGTTTATATAAGCTGAATATTTCAATTTGCTTATTTGTTTCTTGTGGGTAGGCACCCTTCATGCTGCTGCTGAAGTGAAGGCCACATGTTTGTAATTCAACGCCACTGCAGTTACATGTACAATGTAGATCAGATGCACGGCTATCCACGCTAAAGGAAGCTACTGTACAACCAAGCAAGGAAATTAACAGGTAATGGTGAAAAGGCCTACTGTTGCACAGACATACAAACAGAATGCCAATTCTGATTAATGCAGTCATAAAGCAAAGAGAGGAGGGGGACCCATGTATGTACTAACGCAAGTCACTCGTTGATCAATATCCCATGTTATTCAGTATGCAGTTTTCTGCGTTTTGTATAACCTGACTGATAATTTCCCTGCATGTACATTCAACCATTATTTTCGATTGGGATGAGGCAAAAAAAGCACGCAGTGAATTGAACTAAGCATTAGCATTTGAAATAACTATTCATTTAATCATTTGTTGTCCGTTTTCCTTTAAAGTAGGCCAGGGAACATTGTGTTTGTCTCTGAGATCCGAATCAAGGTCATCTTAGGGAGCGTTTCATAATTGTTGAAAGCGGTATTTACTGTGGTATTGCTGTTTTTTTCAGCACCACCGCTCTTGTTACCCCAAAGCTGATGAATGGAAAGCCAACAGGCCTGAATAACTGAATATTTATGAGGTCAAATGTGGAGCTTGGAACTCATTAAGAGACTAGGTGGCCCATCAAAGGCTGCAAGTTTGAATAGGGATTACTCGTTGAATAGCAAGAGGCGAGTCTCGGAACAAAGAAC